CAAGCCATTTTATTTGATAACTAAATTGATCCACTTATTATTTCCTCCCTATATCCATGTGAATCTCTTTAAAATTAATGATTTGTAGATTTCAAAACTCAAATCAATCAATATCCCATAAAATTAAAAAATATTTGAATTTGAAAAATGTGAGATTTGAATGTGGTACACATATTAAAAAACGTATTAGTACATTTTTGGTAAACAAATCAAATAATTTTGGTAAATTAGATACAAATCTATTGATATCCATACATAATTTGGGCATATTCTATTGAATTTAGTATCTTATTTTCTTTTTGGAAAAAACAAGTTTATATGTAAAAATCACTTTATCCCATCTTTTTTTATTAAGTATTAGATCTATTATGAAATAACATGCAATTTCATATTTCTTACAGGATATCCTCACGCCAATTTTGTATCCTTTTCTTTAATTAATAGATTTATTTTTCTTAAAATTCAAGTTTTTTATATTCAAACACAATATAGAACACATTTCATATCCACTTTTTTCTTAAATTAAATCGGATAAACTTTTTGTTTGATGTCTATCCTAATCCAATTATTTAAGAAAATAAATTCAAATAAAATTAAAATTCGAATGCAAATCATTTCAAATTTGGTCATCTTCTTTTTTTTATTGGGATGTATATTCGGTGCGTTTATGCTACGATTTTTTTTTCAAGTAATAGTAATAGACTCCCAATACAACTCTATTAAGTAACTCTTGATACACATTAAAAAGATATTTGCTAACAATTATTTTCCGTAAAATGATCCTCTTTCTATTTCCTAACAAAATCCGTGTGAATCTCTAAAACTTGACATATTTTTAGGTTTTGAAAATTCAAATCAATTGATATTCCACAAAAATTGATAGATTTTTAAGTTATGAGAATTCAAATCAACTCAGATTTTCTATCCTTTTTATTTTTGTAACAAAATGTGTTAGCTTTGAACTTTGTGTCAATAATTATTCAATTAGTTAGAAAAATAAAATCAAATAAACTTTATGTCAATCTTTGATTACATTATCAAATATCTGAAAATTCTATTTTCAAATGTTTTTTTTTATAATTATTTTTCTTTAAATTCAAATTTATAGGTAGATGCCACATGCACAATCACTATATAAACACCACATTGGTGTGATCATTGAACCAAACATCGACATGAAATAATGCATCCCACATTGGTGTGACATCCGACAGACATGCGGTTCCCAGCCGGCGGCAGCGACTTGTACATCAGGGGGCGACCAAAAACTGCTTGTGTGTTGGGATTTTTGTATTGAAAAATTGATAACATACAAGGGTCTAGTTGCAAATTGTAAAAATTTTAGTATATTACAATTAAGTACATGTGTCATATTTGTAATTAATCAAAATATATTAATATTTTAGTAAATGTCATTAATATTTAATATTTTTTTACTAAAAGTATATAATTTTCTTACATGAATATATATATATATATATATATTATTTTTTTTAAATAGTTCGGTCAGTTCGATTATTTCAGTTATTTTAACAAATAAAGTAGACATCGAATTGAAATAACCGATATTTTTAAAACTAAATACAAATAAACTAATCGAAATATATAATTTAAAACCGAAAATTTTATTTGAGTCGCTATTATGCACTCTCTTGGTCATTAGTTTGCAATTCATCTAATATAATCGTACATTCACAGCGCATTGAACACGGATCGTGATATAGTCATACTCGCGTAGACCGAGTTAAGTATTGGAAGATCGACCAGATTATAAGTCGCCTAAATATTTCGACTTGAGACAGATATTCTAGGAGCATGATGACTGAAAAGAAAAAAAAATGAGGAGTTTGCAACAGCTCGAAGACGACCGTACATAGATGAGAGATAACGACTTGGAAGGTGATGATTTGATCATAGAACAACTCGGTTCAGACGAAAGGACATTGGACAACCCGACCCTCGAGATGTTGTCGAAGTCGACCTCTATCACCTAAAAGACGACCTAATTTGCCTCGCAGCTCGAGGTAGAGGTTATTAGTGAATATTGCGGTCCGAAATTAAATGGACATAAAGGATAATGATGAATTTTAAGGGGATAATAAGGAATTACACGATAACTAGAATCTGACTAAGAGGTGATTAGGATGTGGATAAGCCTGGCTGGCCGCGGGCAGGGCATTTCAGACATGTACTTTCCCTATAAAAGGGGCTAAGGTATCGCCAAATCTCAACTTTGACATTCTCCATACATTATACTGCTACCATTTACAGAGCATCTTCTTCCTGATATTTTTTTTTTTTTTGGTACAAAGATGGAGGCCAAGGGCCTAAGATTACGAAACTAGGACTCGACGTGGGTGAGCCACTCCACGGTAGTCGTGGTCAAGCCAAGAAGCCAACCCCTGGGGGGGTGACGAGAATCTCTGAACTCCCAGAGGATAGGAAGAGG